GAAAGAAAAAGCTGTCTAAACAGAAACAAAGGCCAAGTCTTCACAGCTGTATGATTTCAGCAGCCAAAGCTGGTAGAGGGGACCGAAACGGTACTATACAACTGGGACAAAAACATGTACAGTATCACAATACTAAGCAAAAACGCTTTACATCCAAAGGAATAAACAGGTTACAAAATGTGGAGAATTTAGCAGGCAAAACTGTATTACAAGCAACATTTTTATTCATCATCTTATATAAGCCGTTTCAACTAGGTAAAACATCTAAAACAAATATAAAAAGGAGTTTTTATGTTATGGATGATGCCATTTTCTGTCTTTAAATATTGGTTAAAGCTTGATGTTATACTCAAAAGCACGTTATTATGCAGCTATAATGTCAAGTGAGAAATATGTATGCAAAATGGTCCAAGTTCTACTCCAATGCTTCTCGTCACCGAGATGTCATCATACATACGCTTTGTCTTTTGTCGTCTTTGTCGTTGTTGAGGGTGAGAAAAAATTGTGTCTTCAAAAATGTTGCCTAAAACTTCCACACTTAAGTCTCTGGAGTTGTAAAAATGCCACTCAAAATCCCAGCTCTATTCAGAAAACATAGGAATGTCCTGGGGAGTCACATTTGCCTTCAGATGTTGGTCGCAGGAAGCCTTTGTTTAATTTCTTCTGAAGCGAACATAACAATTTTTTGAGATTTCCTCCCTTCTCCCCATACTAAAGAAAAGTTGTGTTTAACAACACTGGAGGGAGAGGGGGCCTCACACATCACGTCACAAAAAGAAATGAAACAACTCATGATTAAATATGTTGCAAAATACCAAGTTACGTTCTTCTCAATCACCAACAAAAGAGCAATCATGTAAAAATGAACTATTTCCCAACATTATCATTGTTTGGATGCTGCCATTCATAGACTGACAGGAGAAGAAAAACCAATTGTTCTTCCAGAATAACTCAAGAAGCCAAAGGTTTAGGCTTCATTTGTCTTTTTTCAATTTTGTCTGGCATCGGTCCCTCTGTCCAGCTTTTTTGGACCCCAGAATTCTCTTGCCATTTCCTTACTCCTCCTTTAATACCTCAAAGGCACCTGTCATTTTCTTTTATGCCCACATTCAGAAACAAAAAGAAAAAACTTATTTTCTGGAAACATCAGCTACGCTAACACAGAGAAAAGCTTTATGTTGCCAACTCAGAACTTCCTCACCACAGGAAATGGATGACTATCCCAACTTTTTTAACATTGCAAAGTAGCTGTTTACAAAGTATAATTCATCAGAAATTTAATTACTTTTGTAAGACTGAAAGAAAAAGAAAATCCAAGCTGGTTCCCCCACCCCATCCCACCCCACGCTTTCATATTCTTAAAGGAATGAGAGGGGGAAAATTAGGATGGGGAGGAAATACAGGGTAACAACTAGTGACACTTATCTGTATAAGAAGGGATTTCTGCATTTCGCACATTCCTTTACATATTGAGAAAGCAACGTTTCTGCCGCCTCACTGTTTACTAAGCAAGAGCTCCGTCCCAAGCACTGCTGCCATCTTTCAGTCCCGAGGTACCAGGAATACATCTCACTTAGCTCCCCATCCTACTGCCAGCAACAGGATGAGACACTAGCACCAGGAGAAAGGAGTCAACAGAAAAATGTGCTTTGCGTCAGAATAAGCACAGGATGAAAATACATTGGCGAAGGACAAAAAGTGACCTGATGTCAGTTCCATCACAAAGATGAGATAAAAGTGGCAGAAGGCTAGAGAACACAGCATCTTCTTAGGCTGTAACTTAAGGCTGCGGACACAGTTTCCAGAAAACTGCACGATTCAGGAGTTTCAGAGCAGTAGTATTTAGGAATATTGCACTCTGTTCTTAGCTCAAGATCCTTTTCGGTTCCTAGAAGTTTTATTTTTCCATCACAAATGAGTAGAGCAGAATAAACCGCCATGTCAGTCCTGTCCTGACTTACTTTGCATTTCATGAAGGAATATTAAAAAAAAGTCCCATAATTTGAGGAATCAACTTTAACCAAGAACTCAGCTGTGTACCTTTGTGTGTGATGACTGAAATATACAGACCTGTCTAACTTCCCTAAGCTTCTCCCATTTGGGGGCTGTTTTTATGGCTATTAACAGCAGGTGTAGGAGTTTAAACAGGAAAGCTGTGCAGCCCCTAAGGTTATAGAAGGACCTGTTTTCATTGAAAACAACTGGATTATCTCCTGTACTCAACACAGGTAAGAAGATTCTAGGCAACTTTGCTGACAAATACCAGGGATTTTTTTTGCAGGGGGAACACCACATCTTACCAAAACAAAGTGGAAACACTACAATAGAATGTGGTAACTAATGGTGGCGGCGGTGGGGAATCACCCAAACTATATATACAGTTGAGT